AAGTGGAAGAATGGGCCTCAGTTTGAATAATGGGAAGACAGAAGTAATGGTGGTATCAAAGAAACAAATTATTCCTAAATGTGTAATAAAAGTCAATGGTGTTATTTTAAGACAAGTACAGAAATTTAAGTATCTGGGCACATGGATAAAATCAGATGGAAGATGCATAACTGAAATAAGAAACAGAATTGGACAGGCAAAAACTGCATTTTATAAAATGAAAAACATCTTGTGCAATATATCCTTGTCATTGAGAGTTAGAAAAAGAATTCTTGCTTGCTACATACATCCAGTTTTAACATATGGATGTGAATCCTGGACAATCGGTAGGCAGGCCAAACAATTTTTAGAGGCCTCAGAGATGTGGTTTTACAGAAGAATGCTTAGAATACCTTGGACAGCCAAAAAGAGCAACCAAGAGGTTTTAAAAGAGGCGGGAGACCGAAGACAACTTATCACTGACATCAGAAGAAGACAGTCATCATTTTTCGGCCATGTTATGAGAAGAGGGAAAATAGAACATGTTGTGACTACTGGAAAGATCTGTGGAAGGAGGGATAGAGGAAGACAACGAGAGAAGATGCTTGACAGTCTTGTTGCATGGCATGGAGGTGTGTCGGCACACGAACTGATACATGCTGCAGAAGATCGCGGATAATGGAGAGGCATGGTCGCCCACGCCAGTCGGCAAGGCACCTGATGATGATGATGTCTTTGTTCTACCCCTTTTCATTGTCTTCCAATTCCCTTTTGCTTCTGCTTCTACACTCATCGATATTCTTCTTCCCCTCTTACTACTTTTGCCTCCTTCTGCTCGTCCTCCATCTACACACGACAGCCCTGAAAATATGTAAAGGACTCAGCAGTCAATTTGAGGTTGGTGATGTCTCAGCGTCGGCTCTGTGGTTCAGTCGATGCGAACGCTTCGTAATGCCGGGTTCGAACCTAGCTGCGGGCCATGCGCCTTGCGGTGGTTTTGACAGTAGTATCAGGGGGCCGACCGTCCAGAGGCAATGGCAAGCTACTGGACGTAAATTTGCCTAGAGAAACCACACAACAGCCAGGGGCTGCTGGGGTTGGTTCTGCAACGTCCTGTAAAGGATACGCAACTAACCTAAAGATGTCTCAGCATAATTTGTTCTCAAGTGGAGTCCATGTAAACTCAACAGCTTTCTCTGTCGGCGTGTGTTGAGAACTCTTGCAAAAAACGTCTGGCTGCCATATTTACATATCCCACTTATAACCCCCACCCCCCCTCTCCCTCCCCCCGCTCTAAAGTAGGAACTGAAGCAACCTACACCGAAGGTAGAGGGTTGGGTCCTGACAGATCTGAGCACTTTGTTAGGAATGACCTTGACTGACAGGTCGACCCATCCCTAAATCGGTACACTGTAAAGTCATGGGAAGTAAAGGTGACCGACGGGATGTTGGCCATATCATTCACTGAGTGCCGTATAGATCTAGCCCTATATATCCAGTACGGCTGAATACGTAGAAAAGGGTCATTTATTAAGTTGAGTTGTCATTATGTTTGTTCCAAGGCTCCAGTCGAAACGTCAGATTGTTCATCTTTATTAATTGAGTTTCTATTATCTTAGGCACGATTCGCGAGTCAGTTACAATTACATCTTCTTCTTCTTCGGCATTCCGAGCTCCTCGCTTTATTGCTGCAGATGTCTCCTTATTCCATCATCTCTATGGCTGGCCTTCTCTTTCAAGTTGATGACACCAAGTGTTTGTAGGACTGTCTCGGCATTATCTCTCCATCGTCTTCATTGTCTGTCTGGTTGTCTACGACCATTCAGCTCCCGTTTGTACACAGATTGACACCGAGTGTTTGTAGGACTGTCTCGGCATTATCTCTCTATCGTCTTCATGGTCTGCCTGGTTGTCTACGACCATTCAACTCCCGTTTGTACACAGTTTGACATCAAGTGTTTGTAGAACTGTCTCGATATTCTCTCCATAGTCTTTTTGGTCTGCCTCATTGTCTACGACCATTCAGCTCCCCCGTGTACACATTTTAGCTCTCTGTCATCTGGCGGTCTGTCTAAAATATCCCCCAGCCATTTCAGCAATTACAACACACAGCAACGTAACTTGAATCATCCAGATGTTCTTTTTCTTGTTGCAGGGAAGTCTCCGAGTTGATTGTCAGCATATTCCAGTGCCGAGATCTGACCCCTAACCCTTACTCCGGCAGCCTTGACACGTTCGTCAAGGGAATGTTGTTGCCAGGTGACGGCGAGATGTTCCAGACAAAGGTCAGTGCTTTTGTGGGTTGTCGCTATTCCGCATCATCATCATCCCTTAACACTACGTGTCGTTGGGTCACCAGTTGCTGTCGACTGTCTGATCATCTCTCTCCACCTTTGGCAGTCAGTTACGATGGACTTCATGGCTGCATGCCTAAGGCCTGTCCAGTCAGTCAGGTTCTGTAACCAGGTCTTTCTTGGTCTGCCTCTTCTCCTCTTTACCTCTACTTTTCCTGTAGTTAACGAGGTTTATAGTTTCCAATGTACTGTATAATTTTATGGCGAATCTCTTCGTTTGTAATGTGGTCTCTGTAACTATTAGGGAGGTTAAATAAATTATTCGTTGTTGGACATGTTAAAGTTTGTGCGCAATGCGAATTGGATGAAGGAGTCAATGAATCGGTCAATTAAAATTTGGCACCACTGCATTTGAGGAATTGTCACGTGTGCTCTTTCCCCTTCCTAGCTAGTGAAGTCCTTAAGAAAGAGAATAGGGAGCTTTTGAGCTCAAATGCTATAGAAAGATTCTCAGAATATCTTGGACAAAGAAGAGGAGAAAAACTGACATCTTAAACGATCTGAACATCAAGGAAGATCGGCTAATAAACAGTTTCCTGTCTCGGAACCTGAACTATTTTGGTCATATCAAGCGCCACGACGGATTGGAAAAAAATTATAGCAGAAGACATGGTACCAGGAAGAAGGGGAAGAGGCCAACCAACACGAAGGTGGGCACAGGATGTAAGTGACTCACTGAGTATGAAAGTACACGAGGCGGGTGAGCTGGCGAGTTTCTTTCAGACAGACCGTGATGAGAGCGACGTTCTGCAAAGGGCCTGCTACATGATAGTGATGAGCTAATGAAGAGTGCCCATATTTGATAGTTGGTAAGTTAACCGATTAGGTCGTATTTCATGGAAACAAAAGCTATCAAATACAGAGGTACTGAGGAAATTGAGAATGAAAAGAGAGTTGCTAGGTGAAATAAAAAAGAGACAAGTGAAATATTTTGGCCACATTAAAAGACATAACAGTATTATAAAGATCATCCTAGAGGGAAAGGTTCAAGGTAGGCGTGCAAAAGGCAGACAGCGTTACAAGTGGGAGGATAACATCAAGAGATGGACGAACAGCAGTATGAGTGAGTTTATATCAAGAGCAAGAGACAGGGCTTGTTGGAGATCCATTGCAGCCAACCTTCATTGTGGAGACGGCACCTGATTGATTGATTGAAGTTAACCGACCGATCACCCTCATCCCACATCAGACAAGTCTATGAACATGCAGATTCCATCTTCAGCATCTCACCCAGCGTGTGACAACTGATAGCACTAGTTTCTTGGGCTACCCGTGCAGTGTTCATTTCTGGCAACACTTCTTTTGATATGAAGTTATCGCAGTCTTGACAACGTTGCCGATTTATTGTCGTCTCCTGAATCATCTACCCGTCTTGCATCCTTGAGAGCACTGAGAACAATGACCGGGTCCTTTGTATTTTCAAGTTTTCCCGTGCCTTAGGTTAAAGTCGAGAGGATCGACTTTATTGCATCGGGTTTTAGCCCATGTGGCTCGGTCTCTCTCCGCAAAACGGCTGGCTGCCTGCCGAGAGCATCACACAGAGCATGAACTCCGTAGCTGCGGCGATGATCCCTAGGAATCTGCGTAAAAACTGCACTCATGAACTGAACGACGCAGCCGTGAAACGAACCCACGACCTTCAAAGCGCGAGGCAAAGAGGTTGACCACTTCGTCACGGAGACACACCCTCGTGCCTACCGTGGCCCTACCGGCAAACCAGTTGGCTAGTTTAACCTCTTTAAACCCAGAATTCCGTGGCACAGAAACTGAAACTGATTCCTTTCAGACGCAAGTTCTTCAGAGACACCAACCTCTGTGTTTTAATCCATCTCGTCTCGACCTTGTTAAGCATACTCGCTGAATCAGTTAGAAAGCACGCATAGGAAAAATGCTGTTCCTTTAGCCACTGTTTTTGTTACTGACTGACTTTCTACCCCACCAGGACATCACACAAGCGATAAACACCCGATGACACAAAGTGCCACAATGCGGATGAGGATCACCGTGGAGAGGTCCCAGAAACCGCGTTCAGACAATTGGCCATATTGATGGCCTGCGTATATTGCGGCCCCTGGCAAAAGCCAGAATGGGGCTTCAAATAACAAAAAAATTACGTCCTAAAAAGGACGTAGGGAATAAGTAGTTTTGCGCAGTGGCGGTACCATAGCCAGAGATATTTTACCGAGGCGTGGTTATTGCTAGCTTTTATTACTGCCATCACCTCCGACTGACTGACTGACTTTCTACCCCACCAGGACATCACACATGCGATAACGCCCGATGACACAAAGTGCCACCATGCGGACGAGGATCACTGTGGAGAGGTCCCAGAAACCGCGTTCAGACAATTGTATTGATGGCCTGCCTATATTGCCGCCCCTTTTTTTTTTTTTTTTTTCTCTTTTTTTTTTTTTGGGAGGGGGGACAACAATTTATTTCTGATTAACTGTCAACGGGAAATTACTTGTCCTTCTCCTCCCCTTCCTTTTTCTTCTTTTCTCTTAATCCAACCAGCTTGGCGTTGATACGTGCCTGTCGCAGGGCAACAAACGCGTTGTGGTTGCGCTCATCCTCCGTAGGTACACGTGCCTTCTCAGGTTTGAACCGGATCTCTAGTGGCAGCACTGTAGGACCAGCCAGCTGTTTGGCCACCTTCAATTCTTCAGCTGAAACATCTCCCTTGCCAGGCTTGCCCTCCTTGCGTGGGAAGATAATCAGCTTGGTCTTGTACTCCTTCAGTCGCTGTACGTTCTGCTGAAGGGACTCAATTGACATGCTTCGTCTGCGGTAATCCACGGAGATGCCGATAGTGCGTGCTACTTTTTTGTTGACACCTGCAGCCTTTAACTCATCCAGGGTGAATCCACGTCCAAGTCTGATCTTAGTGTTGTACTTAAAGGTAGGACATCTGACAATGGGCCTCAGGAGACCGGCAACTGGTCGTGGTGCGATCGCTGCAGCTTTCTTGGCACGAGCTTCTTTCTCATGGGCTGGTTAAACAATGTTTTGACCATGCGCTGCCAATCCTTGTGGAAATGGCCATTTGGAATAATGTTGTTTCTTTTGGGAGCCATGGCTCTTCTCAACTCGTATATTGAGGCCCCTGGCTTTAAACAACAAGAAACTACTTCTTAGGAAGGACGTAAGGAACTGAACTGAACTGAATTTCTACCCCACCAGGACATCACACAAGCGACAAACACCCGATGACACAAAGTGCCACCATGTGGATGAGGATCGCCGTGGAGAGGTCCCAGAAACCGCGTTCAGACATTTGGCCATATACGGCCTGCCTATATTGCGGCCCCCGGCAAAAGCCAGAGTAGGGCTTCAAATGACAAAAAATTACGTCCTAAGAAGGTGAGGAATGAATGAATGAATTTCTACCCCACTAGGACATCACACAAGCGATAAACACCCGATGACACAAAGTGCCACCATGCGGATGAGGATCGCCGTGGAGAGGTCCCAGAAACCGCGTTCAGACATTTGGCCATAATATGGCCTGCCTAAATTGCGGCCCCTGGCAAAAGCCAGAGTAGGGCTCCAAATGACAAAAAATTTCGTCCTAAAAAGGACGAAATTGTGTATTACTACACAGACTAGGTGAGGAATGTACTAAATATCGTTTCCACCTCCAACACCTCCACAGGTAAAAGCACCACTATCTTCTTTTACCGTTCCTTCTAGAACCAGAATCTTCTTCTTCTTCTTCTTCTTCTTCTTCTTCTTCTTCTTCTTCTTCTTCTTCTTCTTCTTCTTCTTCTTCTTCTTCTTCTTCACGTGGAATAAACTATAAAGTAATCAGATTCTGTTTTTAAATGTAGCAGTTGTATCCCTTTTATTTTAGTCACGTTATCTCCCCTGAATAAACTATCAATGAATTATTTTTACACCCAGGAAATGTCGGTCCGCGGCTAGGCTACAAAATGGAGATCCCTAGTGCGAGCGAGGGGAGATGGGATTTCTGGGCTCATCTGTGGGCAATTACCGGGAGCCTCGGGTATTGCGATCCCGTGTCTTGGGGGAAGCTAGAGGGTGTCGACTGATGAAATCAATTGAACATACAGTTACTATGTACTTCACGTCACTAAGTTATGGAAAAGCCACATGGTTACAGCCACAATTTGACCCTGAGGATTTAGGGCAGTACAGCTAGAGCTGTCACCACGGACTGCGCATGTTACAATTTTATTCTCTCTCTCTCTCTCTCTCTCTCTCTCTCTCTCTCTCTCTCTCTCTCTCTCTCTCTCTCTCTCTTTCTCTCTCTCTCTCTCTCCCTCTCTCTCTCTCTTTTACACACATACACACACACATAGTCTTACCAAGGATTTGAACCCCAGTCTCCTGCGATAGAGCACAGCGTTCCTCCGTTCAGCCAGCCGCTCAATAAAACTGAAAAATCCGAACCGCGTCTGATCTTGTCAGCAAAACTGATTGGCACCTGTCCGTCTTTCCAGTCATTAATGTTAACTGTGCTATTACGAAGCATAGGACTCACAACCCATGGCGATACGAGTGTTATTTTATGTTATGTTTCAGCTACATAGCGAACGGGTCACCCCCTAGTTGCTCTGCTCCTGTGCCAACGAAAAACACACAGAATGTTCATCACAGTCCTTTATGGAGAGATTGACAGACTGCTGTCTCAGCATATGCATTAAAAGCATACAGTAGCCATCAGAAGTGCTAACACAAACAGTCTGTCATTAGAAATGTAGTTTATCATCGACGGTAGCAGAGGTAACCAACAAATCAGCAGTTGCACACGCGATCAATTTTAATCACATAAGGGCACCACCAATATTGTGACGATAGGCCACGCGCCATTTTCTGAATCTTCAATTCACAACACAACACCACGTTGGTCACAGTCGAAAAACATTCCAAATGCAATTCGCAGCTCACGGGGTCGCAACATACACTCATTTCAGTAGTTGGGCGACGAAACTATATTCTTTAAGTCTACAAATGAAGCAAAAATGCAAAGGCCGCCGCCTGGCAGAAGCAAAAACTTTGCCACAACTTGAAACAGTGGCCGTGCCTAGCGTCCATTTTGACCGGATCGAGTGAGTGTACAATTACGAGGAGTTCATCCTCTACATAGCACAAAGCCTGGTCAGTAATAAAGAGATCATATGTTGCCTATGCATCATGATCCATCTCTCGACCTGCATTGTTAGCTCCAGAGGAAAGCTAACACCAGTATGTTTGAGACAGAGCAGAAGCTGCCGGATCAGAAAAGCTGTGCTTCGTCTCCGCCTGTCAGAGATTCGCTCATAGACCGGCTGCCAGCCAAGGCTAAGGACCTGGTTTGTCCTGCCATAACACAAAGTTTTAAGCTTGCATGTCTTCTTCCTAGGAAAAGGCTAGTATCCTCCCCAATGCGCTCCTCCACCCGAAGCTGTTGGTGCAATATGGGTTGTCAGGTTTGGTATACGCCGTCCAGCGTTCAGCGTTAACAGAAGACGGGTAATACCGGCTACTTTAGATGGTTAAGTTCCCTTTTCCACGCCTTTAAGCATGGTGGGAATATAGGGCTAGACCTATATTTTTATAGAAAAATCGGCACTTAGTCGGTGATGTCAACATCAATTCGGCCGCCTTTACTTCCGAGGACTGCACCTGTTACCCACACAAGGCTGGGTCGACCTGGGAGTCAAGGTCGGTTTTGTAAAAAAAATGTCCGGGTCCGTCATGACGCGAACCCACGACCTTCCGATCACCAAGCTACTCCTACTTTATACGGTAGGTCAGTCATATCATAGCAAAACAATATCACATAATATATAAATATTTTTAAAATGCATCATTCTCCTTACCCGTATAGTATTGCAACATACACTACGGTAGTACTTGATCTACCTGTTACAGGTACGGGTTCCCATTGAAGATTCTTCAGAAATCTTCTTTGCTTTTACCGGCTGTAAACTCCGGCAGAAAACTCTTGTCATTCATTCACCTCTTGATTTTAGTCTTGCTCCACAACTTCAGTACCTGCGTGCACATCCGTTTCACATATATGGCTTATTTGTATACAGACTGCTGTTTCAGGCAGATGCACTTCGACTTCCAAGAAAGCTCTAAGTTACTCTTATAACATGTCTTTATAAAAGCAATGGGTCAATTCTTGTTTTTCCTACAATGTTAACCAAGAATTTATAAGGGGTCTTTAAAGGTCAAAATGGGTATGTGGGATGTGCCACGTTGAACTGGCACCCAGGATATGACTCTTTGAGTCGTAGTGGTATCAAATCTTCATGAAGCAGTCCGCGAGAGGAAAACAGACAACAGTTGGTGTTAGCATATTTCTTACATTATCATGTCAAAAGAGATACTGCCAGACTTGAACAGTGCACATACAGCCAAAGAAGAACAGTAGACCAACACAGAACGGGTGTTATCAGTCGCCACACGCTGAAGGAGATATGGAAAATGTAATCCGAGCGTTTATGGTCCGAATTGCGATGAAGATACAGTTTAGTTCATCATCATCATCATCATTCATCATCATCATCATCATCATAAACCACTTCTGCCGTCAAGCGTCCCAGGGAGGAATAATTTGCGATGCAGTGCACGTTGGCTGCCACTGGCTATTGTCATGCCGTGAAGGCGTAGAGTGTCTTTAATATTGTCGATCCATGTTTTCCGCTGCCGTCCTCTTGCTCGTGTAGTTGATCTTCTGAGATGTAGTGCTTGTGATGGTATTTGATCTTGCTGCATTCTAACGAGATGGCCAAACCATGTGATCTGCTGTTTCTCGATGAATCTAGTACAAAGGTGTCGTTCCCACAATTTGCCTGATAGTTTCATTATTCACTCGATCTCGTATGGTTAGGTTGGCTGCTTTTCTCAGGCACCTCATCTCGCAGGTGGTGATTTTACGTATATGGGCTTCATATAGTGTCCATGTTTGGCACTGGTAGCTCAATGTTGGAATGAATATGCTATTAATAATCTGTCTCTTTGCACTCATAGTTATGCTATGATGTCTTAATAATGGTGACAATAGGTATATAAGTGCACTTGCTTTCTGGCATCTGGTTTCTATTTCTCTGTCAGTTCTCCCATCTTCTGTGATCATACTTCCTAGATATTTAAACTCCCTAACTCGATTCAGGGCAGAACCATTCAGCTGCAGGTGTAGTGGGGCAGTGGTTGAACTACAGTTTAGTTAATTTTCAAAAATACGAAAGAGTTTACAAGTCTGCTACATTCATTTTCTGTCGTTTTGAGCTAACGTATTGTCATAACATTAGCTTTAATATTTTGTTGTTTTTCTTCCTAACGTTGTACTGAGAATATTGCATGCTAAGTCCGCATTTTTGCGAGTCATAACCGGTAATCACATTCTTGAGATAGGATGTAAAAGCATGAAGATTTAACTATACGAGGTTTTTGGGACTTGTGCCCGGGTGATCCTTATCCGAATAGTTGCACTTTGTGTCACCAGGTGTTGGTCGCTCGTTGTTAGGTCTTGGTGGGGTTAAATGACACATTTAATCAAGTCATTATCCTCCGCCTCAGAACAGGGCACAGCCGATTACGTAACCACATGTACACAAAATTCAAGATAGGTGTATCAGCCATGTGCACCCGTGGAAAGGTGCCCCAGACATCAGAGCATTTACTCCAGGACTGCATCGAATTTGACACATTAAGGCAAACCTTTTGGCCAGAAAGAACAACAGTGAAACGTAAACTCTATGGACCACTGAATGAACTAACAACGACAATGAAATTTATACAAGAGACAAAACTGCTGATATAGACAACTCTATGGACCACTGAATGAACTAACAACGACAATGAAATTTATACAAGAGACAAAACTGCTGATATAGACAACTCTATGGACCACTGAATGAACTAACAACGACAGTGACATTTATACAAGAGGCAAAACTGCTGATATAGACAACTCTATGGACCACTGAATGAACTAACAACGACAGTGAAATGTATACAAGAGACAAAACTGCTGATATTGACAACTCTATGGACCACTGAATGAACTAACAACGACAGTGAAATGTATACAAGAGACAAAACTGCTGATATAGACAACTCTATGGACCACTGAATGAACTAACAAAGACAGTGAAATTTATACAAGAGACAAAACTGCTGATATAGACAACTTATTTCAGGAAAACGAAAGAAGAAGAAGAAGAAGAAGACACATTTAATTACACGTAACTAGAATTATGGGAAGTAAAGGCAGCTAGCATGTTGCTGCCCTTAATCACCCACCGAGTGCCAATTAGTCTATAAAATATAGGTCTAGCCCTATATACCCAATAACTAATATCTACTACTAGCTGGTGTATGCCCCAGTTATTAACTTCTAGGCATTTTGGCTAAGATAAAAGTGATGAATCAAATCATGTTCTTGCAGACGATCAAGAACACCACGGATCCTGTCTTCAAGGAAAGGTTTCTGTTCTCAGTGGAGCCGGAACTTATCCAAGGAAAGTCACTACAGCTGCAAGTCTTTGCCGTAGACAAATATGCGCGTCAGAAGGTCATAGGTGAGGCCGATGTCAGGGTCGGTGACATTGACCTCAATATGCCCATCAGAATGTGGTTCAACTTGCGGGACATTGATGAGGTAAGTGTGAGGTTGGGGGACATTGATGAAGTAAGTGTGAGGTTGGGGGACATTGATGAGGTAAGTTTGAGGTTGTGAATGTGGCTTGTGTGACATTGATGAGGTAAGTGTGAGGTTGGGGGACATTGGTGACGTAAGTGTGAGGCTGGGGGACATTCATGAGGTAAGTGTGAGGTTGTGAATGTGGCTTGTAGGACATTGATGAGGTAAGTGTGAGGTTGGGGGACATTGATGAGGTAAGTGTGAGGTTGTGAATGTGGCTTGTGTGACATTGATGAGGTAAGTGTGAGGTTAGGGGACATTGATGAGGTAAGTGTGAGGTTGGGGCAACATTGATGAGGTATGTGTGAGGTTGTGAATGTGGCTTGTGTGACATTGATGAGGTAAGTGTGAGGTTGTGAATGTGGCTTGTGTGACATTGATGAGGTAAGTGTGAGGTTGTGGATGCGGCTTGTGTGACATTGATGAGGTAAGTAGGAGGTTGTGGGACATTGATGAGTTAAGGGTGAGGTTGTGGATGTGGCTTGTGGGACATAGATGAGGTAAGTGTGAGGTTGTGGGTGTGGCTTGTGTGACATTGATGAGGTAAGTGTGAGGTTGTGGGACATTGGTGAGTTAAGGGTGAGGTTGTGGGTGGGGCTTGTGTGACATTGATGAGGTAAATGTGAGGTTGTGGGACATTAATGAGGTAAGTGTGAGGTTGTGGGACATTGATGAGGTAAGTGTGAAGTTGTGGATGTGGCTTGTGTGACATTGATGAGGTAAGTGTGAGGTTGTGGATGTGGCTTGTGTGGAATTGGTAAGGTAAGTGTGAGGTTGTGGATGTGGCTTGTGTGGAATTCGTAAGGTAAGTGTGAGGTTAGGGGACATTAATGAGGTAAGTGTGCGTTGGTGGATGTGGCTTGTGGGACATTGATGAGGTAAGTATGAGGTTGTGGGTGTGGCTTGTGAGACATTAATAAGGTAATGGTTAGGGTGGGGACATTGACGAGGTATGTGTGAGGTTGTGGATGTGGCTTGTGGGACATTGATGAGGTAAGTATGAGGTTGTGGGTGTGGCTTGTTAGACATTGATGAAGTAAGTATGAGGTTGTGGGTGTGGCTTGTGAGACATTAATAAGGTAATGGTTAGGGTGGGGACATTGACGAGGTATGTGTGAGGTTCTGGATGTGGCTTGTGGGACATTGATGAGGTAAGTATGAGGTTGTGGGTGTGGCTTGTGAGACATTAATAAGGTAATGGTTAGGGTGGGGACATTGACGAGGTATGTATGAGGTTGTGGATGTGGCTTGTGTGTAATTGATTAGGTAATTGTAAGGTTGGGGGACACTGATGAGGTAAGTGTGAGGTTGGGGGACACTGATGAGGTAAGTGTGAGGTTGGGGGACACTGATGGGGTAAGTGTGAGGTTGGGGGACATTGATGAGGTAAGTGTGAGGTTGTGTATGTGCCTGTGTGACATTGATGAGGTAAGTGTGAGGATGGGTGGTCATTGATGAGGTGAGTGTGAGGTTGGATGGACATTGATGAGGTAAGTGTGAGGTTTTGGGTGTGACTTGGGTGACATTGATGAGGCAAGTGTGAGGTTGTGGATGTGGCTTGTGGGACATTGGTGAGGTAAGTGTGAGGTTGTGGATGTGGCTTGTGGGACATTGATGAGGCAAGTGTGAGGTTGTGGATGTGGCTTGTGGGACATTGGTGAGGTAAGTGTGAGGTTGTGGATGTGGCTTGTCGGACATTGGTGAGGTAAGTGTGAGGTTGTGGATGTGGCTTGGGTGATATTGGTGAGGCAAGTGTGAGGTTGTGGATGTGGCTTGTGGGACATTGGTGAGGTAAGTGTGAAATTGTAGATGTGGCTTGTGTGACACTGATGAGGTAAGTGTGAGGTTGGGGGACACTGATGAGGTAAGTGTGAGATTGTAGATGTGGCTTGAATGATATTGATGAGGTAAGTATGTGGTTGTGGGTGTGGCTTTGGGACATTAATGATGTATTGGTGATGTTGGGGGACATTGATGGGGTAATTGTGAGGTTGGGGTTGTGGCTTGTTGGACATTGGTGAGGTAAGCAGAAGAAGGAGTTGTCTGAAAACAATAATGTATAGCTTTAACTTTAAAAAAAAAAAAAAAAAAAAAAAAACTCATATGACATTTACATATCTGAGTATACAATAAAATTGATGTCCACTTCTATGACTTTACGTTACTGCAAAACAAGGGCATGTATGCATTACCTTCATCAGGTTTTGTCCTGTTCCTGTAGCTATTTCGTCACAGCATGAATAAGATCATCAGATCTGTCTCTCCACTTTTTGAAGCTATAACTCTCTGAACCCAGCAAACAATATGCTCCTATTATCAGTTTATTTATTATTATTTTTGTTTTCAAACATAAGTTTTACACTTTGCTGTCTGTAATGCATGTTTTAGTCAATGCCATTTTAAAGGATTAAAGCAGCTTTTTCTTTTAAATTATGTTCACTATTCTAAAAGAATTGGGACACTACTTTCTGAATGTCTGTCAAGTATTGTGGATTCTGGACAAGAATTTCTTTTTTTTTCTTTAGAAACCAACAGAGTATGGAGACATTCTCTTCTCATTGAGTTATCTACCCACTGCTGAAAGGTTGACCGTTGTGATTGTGAAAGCCAGAAGCCTTCGCTGGAGAAATGGCAAAGATTCTGGTGGTGAGTGACACGTGTCTTCATACTGATAACATAGTTCCCATTTCTCTTCCCTGTGTGGGTTCAAGGCTCTATTGTGGGGAAATCAAGAATAGACCCACTGCCTCCCCAACAAGCATGTCGTAAGAGTCGATTAATTGGGAGCTTCTTTTGAAGTTGGAGTTCATCTGCCTGATAGGCAAGAAATCAACAGTCTGCATACACATGAGTTAGATCTGTAAAACCGATATGCATGCAGGTTTTGGAACAGGGCTAGTCCAGAAGTGGATGAACAACCGGAACTTTCTAGCCGGAGTTTACAGCCAGTGTACGTAAAAATAAAGAAGAAGAAGAAAAAGGAAAAGAAGAAGAAGAAAAAGAGAAGAAGACGAAGAAGAAGAGGAGGAGGAGATCAATGGCTAAATGAAGAAAAAAAATAAATATATTATTTTAAGACATAATGTTTTAAATATTATCGAAATACTCACGCAATTATAACCCTATCTGCTGTAATTATAACCCAAAGGGTTATTTTAATTAATAATGACAGAAATTGCATCAGTTTCTGACAGAAATGAATATACAAAATATTTTTGTAAAGCAAAAAAATAATCTGGAAAAACAAATTAATTAAAACGTTTTTGTTCCACACAACCCTGAGTGTTAACAGGATATTTTAATAATTACTGCTACTTGGGTATGTTTTCTAACAAAAACAAAAAAAAAAATTATAATATTGTTACTCACCACAGGGTGTCCAAAAACGTATGGGTATACACCACAAAGTGTCTGCTACAGCAGAGCTGAAAACTTATGGCTTAAAGAAAGGTGCTGGTACTGCGTACCGAGAGGGAAATAAGTCCTGCTGCTACTACATAGACACCGTCTGTGGCATATGCGTTGTGAAAGCGCTTGGGAATTCTGAGGTGCCGATTTGATCCTAGCTACAAGCAATGCACAAACTCTGTAGCAACAGAAAGAACAAAAATGTCTAGATATCAGGTAAAAAAAATACACATGACACAGCTTAGTGAATGTCTTTAAATTGATTTACTGAACTATGAATAAGAAACTTAAAAAAGGGAGGGAAAAGGAACAGCATACAAACACAAGAAAAATTAAAAGTTTCGGCCGGAGCCTTTCTCTACACAAACCACAACAAATACAAGGGGCAGTGTCTCTGGCGATGTCCCCCACAAGCGGATCATGTAAACTGCCATAGAATATAGGAAGAGGAAAAGGTGTTTTTGTCACTTAACGTATGCCTGCTTGTCCTCAGATCCGTTTGTCAAAGTTTACCTGCTTCAGAACGGCAAGAAGATTAGCAAGAAGAAAACTTCAATCAAGAAAGGGGAGAAGAATCCCATCTTTAACGAGGCCATGATATTCTCTGTCCCTGCAACAGCCTTGCCAGTAAGTACACAAATGCCACTCCCAGTTAGATGTCTCTTAAAATATGCAAATGCCACTCCTCTTGTGAAACTCCTCATCACCATTGTCATCCTAAATATACAGCAGATCTTTTACAGAATATTGCTCACTGGTAAATTACTGGGAAGATGGAAAGGAATCAAGAGGTTTCCGATAGGTGGTGATAAGAGCAATTTTCTGTAAAGGATCTACTTATATTGATGATGATGATAATGATGATGATGATGATGATGAGAAGGAGGAGTCTAACAGTTCTTTTGCAGAGAATCATTATATTGTGGCTCACTAGAAATCTCGTGACTCCTTTCTATCTTCTATGACCCGTGTATGGTCATACCTGAAATATCTCCAATATTCTGTACCCACCTTTATTCTGTTCCTTCTCTGCTTGTTCTCCCAAAAACCGGTGTGGTATCCATAGTTGCTCTTTCTAAACTATTGCAATGTTTAAAAATATCTTAAATACATCATCATCATCATCATCATCACCTGCTGTGCCGACAAGCGTAGAGTGTGTTTTGCCATTTCATACAATCAGAAGAATCACAGATATGATCAGTGCTCTTATCTCACCCCATCCATTTGGCTAAGCCATGCAAGTATTTGCCATTCTGCCTTTGTTTTGTTGCAGAATAATGTGAATGTTACTATAAGGCCAGGTGTGGTGGTAAATTATTATTATTTTTTTAAATTTCATCTCACAGACTGTACAGCTACGTATCACTGTGGCAGAGTTCCAGTCTGAGAACAAGACGCCATCTTTAGGTCATGTGATTGTGGGAGCGAACACATCCGGTGCAGAGGCAACTCACTGGAACCAGATGATGACCTCATTACGCAAACCTGTAGCCATGTGGCATTTCCTGCGGAAATAGTACCATAACCTGAGAGGAGTCAGTACTTGTCTCAAGGGAAGGTCTAACATCCAAAAAAAAACATGGCCAGTCGGAGCACCAGGTTTCTTTCCTCAAGGAAATTCTTTCTGATTTATTGTGTATGAAACCATGTTTGGGGTACCTTCTGTACGTCTCATTCAAATATTTTCATATGTAAAAAACAGAAGTCTGTCACAGTGGAGTTGAAGAATCTATAAAATTGTTTAAGAAACGTCTGTCACCTCGTTTGGGATCTCTCTCTCTCTCTCTCTTGCACTCAGTAAGTACACATGCATGTGCACAAACATGCATGCACAAGGTCACAGATATGCTCACACTTACATACACACACACACACACACACACACACACAAACACAGGCAGTCAGACAGATAGATAGACACACAGACAGACAGATACACACACATACACACAGTCAATGCAGAGTGAACTTAATTGCATCTCCTCCTGGTGTGCAGATTCTAATGCTCATGGCAACCCTTCGAAGGCCTCAGTAACGTGGTTCTCCTTGAACACGCATTTAGTGAAAGCAGACTTACCAGCAGTGGAAAGTAGTGAGGAAATTTTGACGAGAACAAATCTAGGTTTGAGGTTTGATCGCAGCCTGTCTTTCAAAGAACACGTTGACCATGTCATAACAAAAGCACGCAAAGGCCTGTCAGCAATGAAGGTCCTGGCGGCCGCTAACACTGAGCAGAGACTGCTTCTGTTCCAGGGACTTGTACTTTCTCCCATCGAATATGCTCTTGCCATCCTCACTGTCAGCCACACTCAGACTGAAAGACTTGAGAAGGTGCAAAATGGAGCAATGCGCATTATTCTAGGGTGCACTGGAGACACCTCTTATGTAGCAATGAGGTACTTTCTTGACTTCCCTACCATGAACTACAGGATCAAGATCTGGAGGGCTCGTGCATACCTCAAGATAAGCTGAGATGTGAAGCACCCTTTGCACCACATGCTCTTCAAGAAAAGAAAGCAATAGGCTTAAAAGGGGCAAATCATGGCTGGGTAGGGCAGAGTATGACATCATGCAGGTGTGCAGCCTTACAGACATCCATCCAGGCGAGGAGTGGATACCAGAGTCTAAAGCACCCAATCTCACATTCTCCTGTGTCGTGACGCTCGATAGGAATTATCGGGAACAGAATCTAGCTGCTGTAAATGCCGAGGTATGAGTGTTTATCAGTGACAAGTCAGATGAGACAGATGTTGTAATCTTCACAGACGGGTCCGTTAAAAGAGGACATAAAGGTGCATGGGTATTTACAGCTCGTTCTTCAGGCAGAACAGTTCATGAAGCCAGCGGTGCCTTCTCCATGACCACCAGCAGCATGACGATGGAGGTGATGGCGATGACACAAGCTTTTGTGTGGCTGGGATCACAGGACTATTGCCGCGTGTGTGTGCTGAGTGATTTTTTTTTACCGGCGGGTCGAGGGGGCTGGTTACGCAGACAGTGGCTTGAGTCGTTGTAAAATTCTTCTGTGGGTGCAGTTACTTTCATATTCCTCCCAGGCATGCAGGCGTTGTTGGTAATGAGAGAGCTGATAGACTGGCAGGTACTGCATTAATTGAAGATGGCCGGCCTATGGATCATGGAGACATTGTTATTGCCCTTAGAGAGTTAGGACGTTCTGAAGATTTTGGAAGCAGCGTGTCCACATCACTGCTATGAATACGTGAATTAGGAGTAAAGACCGGCACAGAAGTATGAGAAGCACACTGGACGCACAAAAAGTCTTGTTAACCAGCGTAGAACTGATACTATTAACCGCAGGACGCTGATGAATATGTTGAGAGGGGAATCTGAGCGCCTATGGATGTGTCCGGAGTGCTGTGAAGATAATCTAACTCATAACTCATCTCAACTCACACACAGAGGTAGAATGTTCACTCAGTCTATGCTGAAGCAGTTAAAGACCTCATTGTTATTTGAACATTGCCTCACATTTTTAGTTGTGGGTGAGGGGGGGGGGAGAAAGAAAGAGAGACAGCGAGAGAGAGAGAGAGAGAGAGAGAGAGAGAGAGAGAGAGAGAGAGAGAGAGATGGACATAATATTAAGAAAACATAAAAAATGGATGAATAGATGCTTAATTGGATGGGTAGATGGATGGATAGAGCAATGGATGGATAGATGGATTCAGATGGATGTATTGGTTGGTACGATTTTGAATGGTAAAACTAAAAGTAGTAAACGAAAAGACAGGCAAATTGGTGGGCGGTATTAGAGTGAGAGAAGCAGACAGTGAGAGTGAGCGAGTGTGTGTGTGAGAGTGTGTCTGTATGAGAGAGAATGTGTATAAGAATGTATGTGAGAGAGAGAGTGTGAGAGTATATGTGTTAAAGAGAGAGTGTGTGAGAGAGAGAGTGTTCGTGAGAGAGAGTGTATGAGAGAGAGAGAGAGAGAAAGTTTGTGTGTGCGAGAGAATGTCTGAGAGAGAGAACGTGTGTGAGAGAGAGAGAGAGAGAGAGAGAGAGAGAGAGAGAGAGAGAGAGAGAGAGAGAGAGAGAGAGAGAGAGAGAGAGAGAGAGAGAGAGAGAGAGAGAGAGAGAGAGAGAGAGAGAGAGAGAGAGAGAGAGCTTGATGATTGTATTACAATTTTTCTCAGAGATGTAAGTATTATTTGTTAATTCTCCAATGCAGCCATTATCAAAATATTTTCTATTTTCTAATCTGGTTGTAAGCTAATTTTCAGATTTAGGCCTAACTTAGAGTTTTTAGAACATTCTTGAGACTGATCTGTATGCAACACTTAACAATACATACACATATAAAATAAACATAAAAATAATATTTTGTTGTTATGTGCATGTGTTATTTTTCACCATGTCATATAATTGCCATTTATGTGAATATAAAAATAAACATGTGCGGTATTTTGTAATATATATATGTATATCTTTTTTTTTTTAAATAATTCTGTGGAGCCACGATCAACCAAAGTTGTAAGTGATTTGGTGGCAGATCAGATTGCCTAGTAAAATCACAACAGACCAAAGAAATGTTGGGGTTTCTTCTGCAACGTCCTGTAAACAACACGGAACCAACTTTTTTTTTTTAATACTGTAAACTGTATATTGTTAAAAAATGTATATGTGTATGAATAATGCATGATGAGTATAGTTTTCATTAATTATTGCACGCGGGGTAGTTAATGATGTGCAGTTTTGTGGATGATGAGTAGATTAGATCATGATGAGTATTTTGCCTTATGATGAGTAGAAATAGTGTTTAATTATTAGTTTCGATCATCATAACTACCTATCATCATCACCACCACCATCATCATCATCGTCACCACCCCGGCCATCATCACCTCCACCATCATAATAACAAACAGCATCATCATCATCATCACCCCCGACACCATCATCATCACCACCATCATTATTAACCTGTTGTGCCATTTTATGTCCCATAGAGTTTGCAGTGTGTTCCTCCATTTAGTTCTACCCTATCCAATCCTCTCGACAGAATAGATGGAAACTTGATTCAGAAATTGTGTTTGATGATTAGCAGTGTGGTTTCATGTTGAGTTAGACCCTACCCACTCATCTTGAAGAATACCTGGTTCTTGAGTAGAAATGTGTTTTGAAGAACCTGGTTCATGTTGAGCAGAAATCCGTTTGAAGAACCTGGTTCATGTTGAGTAGAAATGTGTTTTGAAGAACCTGGTTCATGTTGAGCAGAAATGGGTTTTGAAGAACTTAGTTCATGTTGAGTAGAAATGGGTTTTGAAGAACATGGTTCATGTTGAGCAGAAATGGGTTTTGAAGAATCTGGTTCATGTTGAGTAGAAATGGGTTTTGAAGAACCTGGTTCATGTTGAGTAGAAATGGGTTTTGAAGGACCTGGTTCATGTTGAGCAGAAATGGGTTTTGAAGAACCTGGTTCATGTTGAGCAGAAATGGGTTTTGAAGAACCTGGTTCATGTTGAGCAGAAATGGGTTTTGAAGAACTTAGTTCATGTTGAGCAGAAATGGGTTTTGAAGAATCTGGTTCATGTTGAGCAGAAATGGTTTTCTTTTATTAACTTGATTCAGGTTTGACAACTAACTTAGATCATGTTAAGTTTAAATTG